GACGATTTGCAGGTATACTATTAATCATTCATTTAAAGACGCAATTTTTTCCTTTGTAACTGTATATGCAAAAAATTATTATATTGCTGAATATTTGCGTTTCAATGGTTATAATTACTTTCTATGATATATCACAATCATTTATGGCGTTAAAAAGTAGTGTCCGATGGAGGAGGGGGGGGGGTGTGCAACAAAACACTCAACGAAAATCATCCACAGAATACGGCGTATTGCTGTATATTAATATATAATGTCACAAGAACGATTAATTAAACATAGAATAACAATGGCACACATATTATTTTTGTCAAAAAAATTTTTTTTCTAGATATACAAGAAATTCGTACTTGCCATTGATTATAACATGCACAAATTTATTTTTCTACAGAAAAAAACTGAAATTTTTAAAAAAAGAAAATTAGCTACTTTTAAAAAGTATAAATTTAACCATACACATATTCTGCTAGAGAATTCGATAAGTGCTTGTTGTGCTCATGCGCAATGTTTCGTCATTCATACGACATAAGAAAGACCATTGAAGACTCATGAGTGAGATTTGCCTCCGTTTATATGTTTTCAAAATGTGCTAAGAGGGAATCCACTATAGCATTAAACTTTAATTTACTCAATAATATAGTCAAAGTTATCGCGGTTTTTTTTATTTCGCTTTCATACAGCTTCTAGGAAAAAGCTTGAAAAGTTTAACAATAAGTGAAACATACATGAAAGTTAAATGGGATTCAAACAATACAAATTAAGATTGTTAATAAGGAACACCAAACAATCAATTATGTAAAAATGTCACAGTAAATTGAAAAATTGAATTATATAATTGGAGTCGTTTTGTAGTTAAAATGAAAATCTATAATCAGTTAAACACATCTGTCTATATAATAAGAATATATAATATTTTCATGAAATACGTTTACCTTAAAATGCAAATAAAATTCCAGCGATTTTGTCCGTGTGTAGTGTTGATGTCAGATCACACTCTCCTATAACCCTTGAACTTTCACGACTAGGAAGCTTATATTTGTAAAAATGATACAAAAAGGTTGATGGTCGCGTGCCTGAGTGTAATGTAACATATGACTTACGTAAAAAGGGGAGGAGCTATGAGCTATGATTTCAAAGTACAAATGAGCAGTTCAACTCTCAAAAGAAATTAAGACCTAGTTTAAACGTCGAACTTTACATGAACCGAACGCATTTAAAACAAAAAATATTCAGGAAGTTTGATCCATCTCATTTTCTTTGTCTTAAATGCATTCGGTGCATGTAAAGTTCGACGTTTGAAACAAGACTAAAACTTTAAAGATGAACTTTAGTATTTATTAAGCGCGGGAGCCTTTTTAATATTAGTCTCAGATACTGTTTAATGAGATATTTAATGCTTATTCTAGCTTTCGTCCTATATTCCAAGGGGTCTAGAATTCTTTGCAATGCAAAAACATGAAAGATACCACGTGTAAGCAACATGTGTTTCACATGTGAAAATGACTAATACACAACTAAAGACTATATTTAGTAAAATCGCATGTTCTTCTCACGCGTTTCCAATGAGTGGAACACGAAATTGTAAACAGTCACATGTTAACCATGAAACAGTCATCAACACCTCAACATCACTTTTACCTCTGAGACGGAAAATAATGGACGACTACCGTTTTATACATTGACATTTACCGCTCAAACAACAAATTCACCACCTCTGTATATCGTAAACCCATATTCACCGGTCTTTTCACAAACTTTCACAGCTTTATCCCACTTTCTTACAAACGTAACTTAATCTCTGGCCTATTACACCGCTTTTTCAAACTCTGCTCCTCGTTATGAGACTTTTCATGCCCAAATTGAAACCACCAGAAAACTACTCAAACTCAATTGCTATCCAATTATTATGTTTGACCACGTTGTCCGTCGTTTCCTTGACACAAAATTCGAACAGAAACCACCTATCCTTAGTGTCCCACAGAAAATAGTGTATTTCTGTCTCCCATTCAATGGCTGTCACTCGTTACAAATCCGTACACAAGTCAATCGTCTCTACAACGCTTCTTTCCCTCATCTCAATGTCAGATTTGTCTTCCGTACCCCCAAACGAATCTCTTCATTTTTTCCCGTTAAGGACAAAATTTCCAAGTCTCTGAGATATGGTGTTGTTTATTTATACACGTGTCGATGCTGTTTCCGCGTCGTATGTGGGTCAACCCACACGCCACTTACACACCAGAATCTCGGAACACTTGGGGATCTCTCCTTTGACTGGAAAACGCTACACTAACCGATTAATGTCAAGTATTTTTTCTCATAGTAGCTCCTCCAACCACCCTGCTTCGCCAGACGATTTTAAAATCATCTCATCCTGCTCCGACATATTTGACCTCATGATCCACGAAGCCTCCTCATCTCCAAACTAAAACCTTCACTTAACACCCAAGGCAGCTCCATCCCTCTTCAGCTTTTCTAGTCTCAACACCTCACCCTAACAATACATCACACTTACATCACACTTACATCACATCATACTTACACATTCACAGTAACCTGATACCTCAAACTATGTAAATAGCTCTATATATTTCTATACTCTTGTTAACTTCCTAATTAGTCTGAAGATGTCTTGAGTAAAGACGAAACGTCACTCTTTTAATAAATTTCATAAAACCAAATTGTTTATGACTATGTTTAAAATTATTTGCTGGGCTCTAATATTTATATTGTAAACTAATCATACAAGAAATTCGTATTTGCCGTACACTATATTATGTACAAAATCATTGCTCCACAAAAAATAACCCGAGATTATAAAAGTTTTATAAAAATCAGTCTTAAAAAGTAAAATTTAACCATTAGGAATGTCTTGTATTTCAAGCATTGGGAAAATCTATATGCTTCGAGCAGTTTTACATGGCAAATTATGCAGCACACGGCTCAAGCAGTGTATACTTTAGAAAACAATGTTATAAGTGCATGATGCACACAAGTACAATGTACGGCCATTCATAGATGACATGATGAAAGGTCATTAAGGCCAACCAACTACTGAGATTCGGTACAAATTCACTATAGCATTACTTTCATTTATTGTATAACAAAGGCAAAGACATCACCTGTTTTTTTTTTATTTTGCGGAACACAACCAGCTTCCCAAAATAAAGGTTTAAAAGTTTAATAAGAAGTAAAACATACATGAAAGGCAAATCTACTTCAAAATAATTGTACAATACTTAAATGAACGATAGCTATTTGAATTATATGAACGCTGAAAAGTCAATTTTGTAAAAATGTGACCGTCAATTGAATTATGTCATATAGCTGGTGGGAATTACTAATAATGTCGATTCGCTCTCAACCTTTTGCTAAAAAAGTGACAAGTTTGACAGCTTAAAGTAATAAGTTTCTCATGAATGATGACAAACATGCTAGTTAAAGTGCCGGTGCTTGTAAATGGTTGTAAAAACTGATATTTCATTTTTCACTTGTTTCAAACGCCGTCCCTCGGTCTTCGGCCTCGGGCCGCTTTTGAGACTTCGAGAACATACTATTTCCGTAGCATGGACCTCCCAGCCTATAAAAAGCCTACGATCATTTACTAATCACTATTAAAAAAATCATTAGCAATTGGCTTTTTGTAAGAACAACAGTAGCCATCATTTATTAGAGTAGTTTCTTGAGATGACATAACTAATCCCACTTTTTCTACACTCTTCATTTTCTATATAGACTATTGGAATAAATTCGATATGGTAAACAGTCAATCTACCATTTTATGCACTAAGATTTCGCTCCCTTTCAATATTAACTCGTCTACAAAATACCCATAACTGAACATACCAAAATCAAACGTTCGCTGCAGCAGCTGTACTGATCTGGACGTCGACAGGAAGGAACTGACCGACAGCGCGTGCTCTCCGTCGCATGGGCATAATAAATCTGACGTCACTCTACGCATGCATACCGATACATACCAATGCCATAATACCATCAATTTCAAAAGTTTTGCAGAAAAGCGTTGAGTTTGCGTACGCATTTTGAATAGACTTCAGTAAAGATCGGGCGCAAACGCAAAAAGTAAGAGACGTCAGATATAGTAGACGGTGATATCACTTTCACTGCACAAAAAATTGAAAGTTCAAACTTACTTGAATTATGTAGTCTTGTAAACCCTTATGATCTTTACGTGTGACTTCAAAATTTCAGAAAATTAAGGCTATAAAATGGTTTGTTTTCACCTACTTGTGGCGCGCCGTTTAAATGTACAATTGCAGCGATCCAACTGTAGTAAATTCACAACCCATTTTCACGTTTGCTTATTGAAACTAAAAAACTGTTTGTTTTAAGTTCTTGTTTCATGGAAATGAAAATACAAAAGTTAACGCCATACTAGAAGTAGCGGTACTTAATAAAATTGTCAATAACAATAATTTTCACCTCAAATGTTACAATGTTTATAACACAAGGTTTCATGCATACAAGGTTATAGGTAAAAAAAACAAACATTAATAGTGTTTCAGCTTTAAAACATTTTTACTGTTAGCATTGACTTTCATAATTTACTTTAAGTTTACACAACGCCTAGATATTCTACTTTAATTCGTTCTTGTATATATCGTTCTTGCTTTGTTGGTGCACAATTGGGTAAATAAAACAAAGAAAATTGTTTTGATTTAACAATGGCGTTTGTCGTTTTTTCTTTATTATGGCATTATAAAATGATTTAGCTAAAAGTACGGCTCAAACAATAAATCCCAAAAGAAGATGTGCAGAAAATGTGGGATTTTTAATCTTGTCTTCTATCTTCGGTTTCGAAGGAACAATATTATCCCCTTTAGATTTTCAAACTTTAACAGTTGTATGAAAAGTATTTGCCGAAACTGCATGTTTTCATATTTTGAAGCTGAAATACTTCAAAATATTTTTATGTTCGCAACGTTATCGTTCTAGTTATATTGGAGTTTACTGGTTGGTTCACAAAAAAACAACAAAACGATCGATGCGTTTAAATGTTTATTTTATGGCTAACTACATCAGTACATGGGTGATTGGTAGCTTTTGTACATGATTTTGTACATGCTAACTGCAAGTGCTTTAAATCATGACTCCCTATTATGCATGCAATATATTTAAATTTCTCCATGCAGCTAGTCAACTATATTTGTTTTTCAGTTGTTTATACTATCCTCTTAAAGACTCGCAGTTTGTGTGGATGCTCTTTAGAGTACACTTAAATTTTCGTCGTGCATTGTTGTTTTCTTTAGACTTTTTTCTACATGCGTTCTATTTCGTTTGAAAATTATTACCCAATTAGCATACGTCTTGCATTTTGTAATCTTTTGATTATGTTTGGTCTCTTGCATCTTGCTTCCTTCTTTTTCTTGTCGTAATTTTCTGCCTTTTCTTTTTCGCCGTTTTTCTTTTCCAATTTGCACAGGAGCTTATTAACTTTGATCAGTCTTGGATGATTTTCTGAAAACAGATGTTTCATCACATCCAAAATCTTTAGCAGCTCTATCTTTGCTTCTTTAAATCTTTCAGCCTTGAAAAGGCACTGACCAAGAACTGACAAGCTTATAGCAATACCTGGATTTTTTTCATTATTCCCGGGATTATTATTCTGAAATGTATGTTTCTTCATCATTTGCAGAGCTTGTTGCGCGTAATTCAAGGAATCTGGGGATTTGGTTTTGGATTTGCATATTGCCAAATTTCTCAATGTCAACGAAACGCCGATTTTATCTCCAATTTGATCGTATTTGGCTTTAGCTTTTCTAAATTTTCTATTGCTTCGACATATTGATTTTTCTCTATCAAGCAAAGCCCGTCGTTAAAAAGAAACTCGGCCTCCTGAGCATCATTTTCCTGTTTTCTTTCTTCTATTATACTCCTTCTCATATCTTTGGCTTTGGAAATAAGAACTTCGGCTTCATCGTTCTTTTTTACACTTAAGAAACACAACCCTAGGTTACTAAGAATTTTAGCCTTGTCATAGCTATCGTTGTCTTTAGTATAACTAGCTGCCTCCCTGTAAAGATCGGCAGCTTCTTCAATTTCTCCTTTTTGCTGCTTACACCTTGCTAAATAGGTTAGAAAACGTGCAGATTTCTTCCTTTCTTCAGGGATTTCATTCAAATATATTTCTGCATCAATGTAATCAGAAGTTGTCAGGTAACAGTCAGCTATTTCAATTAAAGTGTCAACGAGTACATCTTTACTCTTTTTGTCATCTCCATGGCGACAAAGGTCTCTCACGTTAGACTTGAATAAGTCTATTGCAGACCTAAAGTCTCCTTGTTGTTTATAGCAGTTTGCGATGCTATACGTAATGTTCTTAATCGTCGTGATGTCGCTGCTGACTTTCTCTTGCAGACGTTTGCTTGTTTGGTATGAAATGATTGCCGATTCGTATTCGTTTTTGCTTTGGTATGCACATCCTGCTGCTTCAGCAAGTTGTGCTGCAATGGTCAACGTAGTTTTGTCATCATTTTTTACTTTCTCAATAAACATAAGAAAGACAACCATTGCAGAGGCGACTACATCAACCAAAAACATGTCGTTCTCAAGCTTTTCTTTTTCCATGTAATTTATCATCTTGTCTGTATCCCTTTCATTAAGGTTGAAATCTTTCAATGTATCACCACGTGGCTCCAACCTTTGGAACAAAGTTTTGGTCTGATTATGTTGCTTCACAACTTCGTTAAACACTGCATTTCCATCGGTGGATAAACTCACCAAATACTTTGCCCAATCTACACGGTCATTATCTTGAGGAGGAGGTTCTAATTTGGAAGGAGGCGCAATGGATAAAACAGAAGTTATTTCCACGTGTTCACCATTTTCCCCAAAAATTTCCTTTGCTCGTGGAATTGCTTGTGCTAAAGGACAATTACCACCAATACCTCCGTCGACATATTTATGACTGCCAATTTCGGTTGGCTTGTCAAAGAATATTGGGGCACTTGAGGATGCAAGCATGACCTTGTAAGCCTTGTAATACGCGTTGTCTTTGCTAAATGTATCAAACATTACAAGATTTTGGTTGTTGCCAAGTTCTTTAGCAACAGCTCCGGCCACGGTTTTCGAAGAATCTTTGCCACCAATATCATATAAGCAGCAATCACCAAACTGATCCTTTAGAGCTTTCTCTACATTAGCTAGTTTATATGGTGATGTTGGAATGTGAAATATTTTTGGACGCCAAGGGAAGATTTTCTTAGTTGTAGTCTTATACATCTTAATGCATTCTTCCACAGTCATCCGTTCTCTTACATGATGGTTGTTTCCAACTTTATTTCCTCCGACTAAACCAAATGCAATCAAACTTCCTGTACTGGTACCAACTATCATATCGTAAACATCTGTGGGATGAATGGGATCCTTAACTGCTTCCATGTCCTTGATCAGACGTTCTCGAACGGAACGATCTTTTAAGAAATTAACATTTCTTTCATTTTTGTCTTCGTTTGCAAAGAAGTATATCTTTTTAGGACTGTTCAACACAATTGTTGTTAATCGTAGAACGTCGTCCAGTATCTTCAGTTCCATTACACCTCGACTTCCCCCACCATCGAAAGACAATATATTAATTTTCTTTGTTGCTGAATGCATTTTCTCGTTAGACCTGTATGTGTGAAAGTGACAAAGTCATAAATTATTTTAATAACAACAATTTCCCCCCTTTTCCCATCCTCTTTTCAGAAAATTTTTATTTTACGGGAGCCGTTACAAGTTCAAAGTAATTTTTTGCCATCCTAAATTGCACAATACTGTGGAACGTATTTTATGGCAGAATACATGTTAGCTCAGGGATTAAAAAACAAATTTTGTGATGTTTATGAAAGTTGTCATAAATAAGAAGATTGAAAAACATGCAAGTTGACTGTGACTTGTAAATTTACTAGTAATGTAAGAAATTGCTCCTCAAATTATCAAAAGCTGTTATTCAGTAGATGTCTTTGACCCCATTTTCACATCGTTTTGAGCCATAATTTCAATAAGCCCTGCGTAATTTTATACTCGAAAATTGAATCCCAACTCCTACGTCTGATTTAAACGCTTGGTTTTTAGAAATGAGAATACAATAGTAATTGTAGAGTGAGAAAAAAAGCCTTTGCTCATTTTTAAGGGATCCCTGCTTAGCGCCTGAAAGAAGAATATAAAATCAATTGTACTGTTTTGAGTAACAAAAGTGGTTTGATGGACGAGCCCTTGACTAGCAAACTTGTCGCAAAGATGTTGGAAGATTCATAGTTGGTTAACAGCACCTATACTACGATAGGCGTTAGATTCATTCAGTTGTTACTTAACACTAGGTTGAACGGTTTCATAATCAACTTCCCACGTTTGATACGTTGCTTCTTAAGCAATCTGACCAAGAACTGTCCTCTCAAGAAAATATTTTGTAGCATGAGGTTTAAGTTTTTTGCTTTCTTCACACAAACTGAACTATTCTGATTACCTTCTTCCATTTGTATTTCTCCACCTTAAACTTAAACCTCAATCAATATCTGCTAACTACACTGAGAATCACATGAACATCCATTTAATAAAGACATTATAACTTTCTCCTAACTTATGTGACTACAGAAAGGCTTTAAAGGATGACGAAACAATTCACATCACAAAACTAGACAAGATAACGGCATGTTTGTAAATGTAGATCGTCCAGGTTGGTATAGTCCTGAGAAGGACTGTTTTTGTTGTTGTTGACTGATGTTTTGACAACCTTAGCGGTAGTCATCTTCAGAGTCAAATGAGGAGCAAACGTCAGGTTAGCCGTATTTGTTATCTGGTTCTTACGTCATTGTATTGTGTGTACAGGAAATGTATGGGTGTCAATTGTGTGAAGTGAAATATTTTTAGTTGTGATGTGTGATTTAAGTGTGATATTTTTAGTTGTAATGTGTGGGTGTCAATTGTGTATTGTCATTGTGAATTAGTGTGAAGTGTAATGTTTTTAGTTGATCGTTTGTTTGTATTGTGAATAAGTCATTTGTAAGGTGCCGGTAATTGCTGTGATCTGTTCAGGGGGTTTTGTTCCAAGTTGGTATACCAACTTTTTAATTTAAGCCGTTGTCTATAGTCAGTACTGTAAGTAATGCATTTTGCCGAGTCCCAGTTAGTGTTGTGCTTTGTGATTCGGTGTTTTTCGGCAATGTGATTAGTTTTGTCTTGTTTCTTAGTAGCTCGTTTGTGTTCAGTAAGTCTTATATTTAAGTTCCTGCCAGTTTCCCCGATATAGGAGGCGTGGCAGTCGGAGCAGTTTATTTTGTAAACTGCACCTTTGAAGTAAAAGTTTGAGTTCAAGTAAACACCAAAGAACAACCTTTCAAAGTAAGGCTTTACTCAACACTAAATTAAAATCTACAAAATGTCTCTTTATAAGTAATTATCTTAAACTAGGCGCGGTTACTAAGGTGGGTGTAATAATCATGTAATAATTACTTCATGTAATAATCACTACAATCACCCTCTCCTATTTGAAATAACTATATAATCCAAATTAAATAATCTAAATAAGACTGGTCCTGCCCGATTGTCTTTTTTTTTCCCATATCATGTATATGTCAGGCGGTCGGGTTGTTTCTTTTCTCTCTGCGAGCGGCGTAACGGTAGTGTCTGTTGTGAAGACGACTGATCAGGTAGAGCGGGATCCTCCAGTAGTGAGTTCCCTTCTCTTTCCTTCTTTGGCGAACTATTATTTAGTTTCCTAGCGTCTTTTGTGGCCAAAGGAGATTGACGTGGGTCGTCTACAGTATTATCTTTATAAGGCGATAGTGGTAGCGGTTTCTCGCATAACTTCTCTTTTTCCTCAGCTTGTGGAGCGAGGAACTTAGTGGCTACGGTATCTTCTCTTCCATCAGGAAATTTTACATGCGCATACTGAGGATTTGCTCTACTTCATCGACAGATGGGTCATACTTAGATTGTTTTACTAGACGCTTCAACAGTACCAGTCCAGGTTTGGATAGCCACGTTGGTATGGAAGTTCCACTCGTCGATCTTCGTTGGTGGATAAAGAGGCGTTCATGCGGTGTTACATTAGTAGCGGTGCACAACAGAGATCTGATGGAATGAAGAGCATCATGCAAAACTTCTTGCCAGCAGCTGGTCGGTAGTCCTCGCGTCTTCATCGCGAGAAATAGTCTTCCATAGAGTGCCGTTCAAACGTTCTACTTGGCCGTTCCCTTCTGGGTTATATGGTGTGGTTCGGCTTGACGAGATTCCTTTCTGGAGGAGAAAGTCTTTAACTTTTGCACTCATAAAGCCAGAACCTCTATCTGAATGTATGTAAGCAGGCATACCGAAAATCGAAAACAATTCGCAGAGACAATTTATAATTGACTCCGCGCTAACGTCTTTACAAGCGAAAGCAAAAGGAAATCTTGAATATTCATCTATTATAGTAAGAAGAAACTTATTATGATTAGTCGTCGGCAATGGTCCTTTGAAGTCCAAACTAAGTCTCTCGAAGGGTTGAGTCGCTTTTACTAAATGGAAATTTTCTGTTTTGTAATATTGAGGCTTACTTTCCCTGCATATCTTGCAGGACTGTGTCATGAGCTTAATTTCATCCATAGAGAAAGGGAGATTACGGTTTTTTACAAAATGTGCCATCCGCGTTATTCCTGGGTGACACAAGGATTCATGAAGCTCTATCAGCTTATCGGAGGTCATGCTCATTGCTCTTATCCTAGAAAATGTATCCGCTGGTACATTCTCTTCTCCTGCTCTGTAGATTATATCAAAATCATAAGTGGATAGTTCCATCCTCCATCTCATTATCTTATCGTTCGTTTGTGTTCAGTAAGTCTTATATTTAAGTTCCTGCCAGTTTCCCCGATATAGGAGGCGTGGCAGTCGGAGCAGTTTATTTTGTAAACTGCACCTTGTCGTTCGTTGGGTTGTTCTTTGTCCTTTATGTTCGTTAGTACTTGTCGTAATGTTGTGATTGGTTTATATGCGACACGTATGTTGTATGGTCGTAAGATACGCGAGATAGTCTCAAACGTACCTTTGATGTAAGGTATCGTTGCTGTTGTCACTGAGTTGTTCGTTTCGTTGGGTTCGTTGGGTTTGTAAGTGTTGCATTTGATAAAGCAGAATTATAGTTGTCTTTGTCAAAAACACGTTTGGGATAGTAGTTTTCGTTGTGTAGAGCGTCCGGTGAATCACATATGATTTGTGCACGTCTTGTTAATGTTCTCATTGTGGTGGCTTTGTGTGATGTAGGGTTGTAAGATGATTGGTTTAGTAGTCGGTCAGTATGTGTTGGCTAGCGATAAACTGTTGTTGGTAGTTTTTGATCGTCATGTTTTACCAAAGAGTCGAGAAAAGGAAGAGTTCCGTTTTCTTCGACATTTTTGGTAAATTGTATGTGGCTGTTCTGTTTGTTGATGTGAGTGTGAAAGTCATCAATCTCGTCTGCATGTAGTGCTGTGATTGTGTCATCTACGTAGCGGAACCAAAAAGGTAGTGCATGTTTGTAAGTCGTGAGCGCCCGTTCCTCTATAGATTGCATTACAATTTCAGCAACTACAACAGAAACAGGTGAGCCCATTGCTGTTCCATGTAATTGTTTGTAGTGTGTACCTTTGTACTGGAAGTAAGTCGAGGTGAGGCAGAGCTCCAGTAGCTCCTTAATGTCTTCTGTCGGTAATGGCAGTACGTCCGTGGTGTTTGTAATGAGGGTTTTTGTAAGTGCCACATTAAGTGGAATACTTGTGAACACTGATTTCACATCAAAAGACACTAGTATATAGTTGTCCGGTGTTAGTATCGTGCTTAGGAAGAAATATTCCTCACCCAGGTATCGTCATGTTTATGTCTTGTACGTGTTTTAGTGCGTTTTAAACGTTCAAGTTTTTGTTGTTGTTTGATTTAGTGTTGTGTCTCTGTCTTGTTTGCTCGTTTCTCTGCAATAGTTTGTATCGTAGAAAGTAAAGTATCACTTACTGTCGTTGGTATGAGTTCCTTCAGTTTGTTCAGTCTTTGTTCTTGTTGTTTGATGTAATAGTTGATTCACAATGACAATACACATTCCCTGTACACACAATGCAATGACGTAAGAACCAGGTAACAAATACGGCTAACCTGACGTTTACTCCTCATTTGACTCTGAAGATGACTACCGCTAATGTTGTCGAAACGTCAGTCAACAACAACAAAAACAGTCCTTCTCAGGACTATACCAACCTGGACACATTTCCTGTGCACACAATACAATGACGTAAGAACCAGATAACAAATACGGCTAACCTGACGTTTACTCCTCATTTGACTCTGAAGATGACTACCGCTAATGTTGTCGAAACGTCAGTCAACAACAACAAAAACAGTCCTTCTCAGGACTATACTAACCTGGACGATCTACATTTACAAACATGTAACGATACTCCCGGATTCAAACCATTTACTTTAAAGATAACGGCGTTTTTTATTTTCAATGGAGTCAAGTAAATATTAGATAATATGCAACAAATTTTAAATGACAGTTCCAATATGTATACGTAATAGCATGGTTTCGAGTGCAATTTGAGAAAAACCTGCACGAGTGATTTTTTCAAAGACTATCAAAATTGCACGAGTCCGAAGGACGAGTTTGGTTTCTCGAGCAGGGTTTCTCGTGCAATTTGAAGTCTTTGCATGCTATGCTTATTAATAATATACATGAAAAAATTTCTCAATTCTGTTGACTTTTAACTTCAGCGTACGTACATTAATTCAGCAGACGAGTTTAACCATCGATTGATAGGCTCGTATTTTTCAATTCAGTCGGATATTACTTTCCACACACCATAGCTTCCGCACACGCAGCTAGAACAAGGTATCTACTTTTAGCAGTTTTGTTATTTTCATGCAGAAACATCATGCAAACGGTGAACTGTAAACTGCTTCGCTAAATAAAATTTACTTAAAACTTATGCCAGCCGTTGTAATTGCTTTGTTTAGAATAATTTAACTTTCCCGCTTTTGAAATGTTTTAATTTAATTGGCTCTTACATCATATCTTTGTTTGACTGACCAATCAGGAGCGTAATTTTCTAAAAGAAATTGCGCTGTATTTCTTTTTTTTGCACTGTGTTTCACATTTTTGCACTGATATTTACAATTAGAATTGAGAAATTTTTCATGTGTATTATTATCCACAAAATTAGATGCCGTCTATCAATTGGTAGTTTTTAAAGTAACAAAAATGGGAGAAAATATTGGAGGGGAAATTTTTCTCGTGCTGAATAAAACACTCGTGCTTTTGATATCGTACAAGTATAGGTTATTTTTGTTTTGAAAGTGCAGGATAAAAACCCAGGCAAGGTGAGCAAGTGGATTATATTTTTTCAATGATCCTAACGAAGCATGAAAAAGCAACTTGGATGCATAGTCACACGAGAGAATTACATAAAGCGTCAGGCATTTGCTGGGAAACATGTTATTTTGGATTTGTAACATTATAGAACGTATACACTATTGAAATAATTTTGACGTATTAGGATGTTTTTCTAGAAATGGTAATGGTGGATTTTCGTGGAGTCATAGAGTAACAACAAGCCAACACTTACGAAAATTTCTCAATTGGTTTCATATATGAAATTGAAATTTCATATATGAAATAGACACATTTCATAGATGAAGCGTTTCGATTTCACATAAGTTTCACATCATTTCATATATGAATTCAAATGTGAAACTTTCGTTAGGGAAGTGTACAGTAAGACTCCATCTTGCTCCATCTATCCATCAACTATTCCATGATAACTTTATGTTTTAGCTTGATAATGATCCAAAAAATAACAGTGCAGCGGCTCCGAAATACCTCATTAATGATGAAATGGATAGCACCAGACTTAAATTGAGAATTTATTTGCTGAACTCATTTTTTGACTCACAAAGGATTGTAAGCCAAATGATGACGATGAACTCTTCGACATAGTGTAAAGTGAAAAGCAATCAGTATAAGCCTAGAGTACTTTTACAAGCTCTTTGAATATATGTAGGGATGTGGTAGAATTAAAAGAAATGCCAACTAGAAACTAATCCTCATTTACTCTGGTTTGTATCACATATAAAAAATGACAATGCTTGTCTGCAATATGTCATAATGTTTTAAAAGATAGCTCTTTTTTACCATCGCTAGTATGTGTTACTATATTATGGCAACATAAACTTTTTTCCTGCAGCATATATTTATATGCGCTCAATTGCTGTACGATTTCTAAATAAAAACGTACATTGTCTCTAAAGCTTACGCTTTCTGCACTAAATTTTTATGTCGCTTCAAAAGCCTTTCTAACTTATAGATTTTATTGTGCCTATCTGCCAACGCTTTTATAGTGTCAACGCATTTACCATGGCATGTTCGTTGCATATTCTTTCTTTGCCAGATGCCATTGCTAGTATTAATTTTTCTATTCAGATTACAACTATTTTTCAAAGCCGCTTTCCTTACTCGCTACAGTATACTAGCCACAAAGACCTTTATGCAACACCAACTTTCTGCCAATTATAACGTGCTAAACCCAAGTTCTTTCACAAATTATGGAAATTATGTGAAGAAACATGGAATCTTCTTAAATTTGGTCTCATTGAGCATCTGCAATGAAATACGTATTATGAATTCAAGACTTTTTCTTCATAAACGCATGCATCTTTCTTATAGCCCTTATCGCAGGCACGATGCCTAAAAGTATAAGCTTGTGAAAACTATGAGAAATAGGCTTAATTCCAATAAGTTTAAGTCACACGCCCGTCTTTTAAAAGCTAGCTTACTCTCCTTACGTGGTGCTTCAACATCATGACCTCATAATTATTCGAAAACAGTATTTTCACTTCAATGATTGCTAAGCTTGATTAGAAATATGTTAGCAAAAACATTGTCATTGAATGCATTGTTTAAGAATAACTTTGCCATTCATTAAAGAGAGCGCGAATTATATGTTGCACTCAGTGTGTATGAGTATGTTTTAGGTTATAGGATACGAGCACGAAGTAATGAATTTTTCTCATGTAATATATAAAAATGAATTAACTGTTAACTTATCCCAACTTGTGTTTGGAAGTTCCTTCAACACGAGCAGTTAAACTGTTGATTTCCCCCTCTATTAATGACAACCCTTGCGTTGGCATAACAGTGCCAAATATTTTTGCATAATGAAGTGGCACATCCGCTAAGTACAAAAATAACATGGCATTTTAATTGCATGACATGATGTTATTGCTCGGTTAAAATTTGACATAAACCAACATTGCTAACAACGAAACAGGCAACTACTACCACAGTCCACTGCAATCATCTTACTACTACTTTTCGAAACTTACGTTCCTTGGTGTCGTTAAACAAGCGGTGAAGGAAGTTTTCATTCACCAACGCCTACATTTTAATTGGGGTAATTATGTGCAACAAGAACTTTGAACACAGACTTGATGTCATTTAACATTTAGCTTGAAAGAAACAAGAATTAAAATTCTTCTTACAAAAACGCAAGTTTGTTCATATTATCATAAAATGTAAATTGTGCATCAAATGTACATAATTTGAATGAAAATACAAAATATCCTAACATGTAAACTCCGAAGATTTGTGTGCCGGCAAAGGACTGCACTGACGAACTACTTATTTCTGGCATGATGTCATAAACTTGTACAAGTAGCTATGTATTCTTGACTTGCAATTCAGCCTTGTTTTTGATCTGATACAAAATATTATTCTATCAGAGAAACTACACAGATCAAATAAGGGTTCCTACCACATTCAGTATTATCACCCATTCAGCTTTAAGACCGTTTTATGTATCGTTTCACTGGTAGCAATGTTTCATCGAAATATGTAGAGAGAGCAGAGATTCTTTGATCTCTTCTGTTCGTTACCGAAATGCTTCGCTAACTATGCACACATACAAACGTCTATAAAACATTGCAGGCAGACTGAAACAAATAATGATACACATTTGAGTAGAAAGTTGAAAGTACAGTACAAGAATATAGCAAAGAAGAAGTATTTAAATGCTTCAGGAATGATAACTCGCATGCACTCGCAGCGAGCTTACCATGACTTGAAGAATAGTTAAATGAATGGAACATAATTTTTTGATCGCGCGAACAGACTCGCAAGCTCGCAGCGAGAGCATTTTGGGATGAGTGGAAAAGAGCCCTTACACTTGGTATGTCGCGAAAGCCTAGTTGTAAGATCTGCTAAAATAAACGTTTCTACGTCTTATAACGACTAAATATTGGAAAAGTATATAAGCGTGATATACTACACAACTTTTGTTAATCTTGCTTTCTATTCTGAACATATCCTTATCAGGTCCGCACTTTGTGAAGAATTATTGGACATATCTCGCAGACATATCGATGCAACAGCACGATTTATTACAGCAAGATTATTGGTTGACTGTGTTTTAACAAATCTTCCTTGGTAATTTTCCTACATCAAATATATATTGCTTATGCCTAAATGCAAAATGCGTTTTTCTTCTTCACTCTTTAAAGGGGGAGTGAGAAATAGTACTATTTTCTGAAAAGCGGTCAATTTTGGTCGCTAAATCGTAGCAGGAATTCACCGATACCGCCATTTTTTCATGGGAATCAGCTGACATCTACAGCCGTGATTGAGAATTCAATGATCAATTCCATCTATATCATACAGATTTATAATGTGGATAGAACTCGGTATGATGAAAAATATTGACCGATTACCTTTCCACCAGATACACGTTTGTTAAAAATGCTAATGCTCGTTGGTGGAAGCATAACGCACCTTATTAGTATTCTTTTTTGTTCAGGCAAGACTTGCGAATTTTGACGTCTTTCTTTGGTGACGTTTGTGTTTAGAATTTTCTTCAACACGAGCAGTTCAACTGTATATTTCCCCGTTATTAATGACAATCACTTGCGTTGGCATAAAAGGGCCAAAATATTTGCATAATCAAGTGGCACATCCGCTAAGTATATAAATAGCATTGCATATAAATTGCACGACATGATGTTATTGCTCGTTTAAAATTTGACATAAACCAACATTGCTAACAACGAAACAAGCAACTACTACCACAGTCCACTGCAATCATCTTACTACTACTTTTCGAAACTTACGTTTCTTGGTGTCGTTAAAAAAGCGGTGAAGGAAGTTTTCATTCACCAACGCCTACATTTTAATTGGGGTAATTATGTACAACAAGAACTTTGAACACAGACTTGATGTCATTTAACATTTAGCTTGAAAGAAACAAGAATTAAAATTCTTCTTACAAAAACGCAAGTTTGTTCATATTATCATAAAATGTAAATTGTGCATCAAATGTACATAATTTGAATGAAAATACAAAATATCCTAACATGTAAACTCCGAAGATTTGTGTTCCGGCAAAGGACTGCACTGACGAACTACTTATTTCTGGCATGATGTCATAAACTTGTACAAGTAGCCATGTATTCTTGACTTGCTATTCAGCCTTGTTTTTGGTCTGATACAAAATATTATTCTATCAGAGAAACTACACAGATCAAATAAGGGTTCCTACCACATTCAGTATTATCACCCATTCAGCTTTAAGACCGTTTTATGTATACATGTAGCAACTTAGCAAGTCACTCATTTTACATAATGTTAGTTCAGATTTTGTCATAAAAATGAATGACATACTACAGCAATAAAATTCTTTACCACAACCCATTATTTAAAGAGTTTTGCTAAATATGTCAGCTGGAATACATGCATGTTTGCTTTATGATTTACAATTTAACATTGGCGTACTTTAAGCAAACTTTCCATTTTCAATGGCGTTCGAGAATTGTCTAAACCTGTTTCACCTTGAATTTCACAGCAAACGGATATCATTAGTGAGCCAGGAACAATTTACCACTAGAACATGGAAGTAACAAATTCTGGAGCTCGGAACACAAAATAGCAAAACATTTAAACTTGAATTTACCATGAACGTAAAGTGCCTAAATTTTTTCATTTTCCATCTAGATAGACAATCTATGATCTATTTTAGAAACTTTTACAATTTAGAGTTACTTTACTCTATTCATCGACATTTCGGAGCGCAAATAAACGCATGTTCTATCCGTCGACTTTCATTATCTTGCTTTCATAAATCATCTTATTATATACAACTTATCATTGACGCCTTGATTAGGTGCTGTTACTTGTTTTGTCCAAATCAAAAACGTCAAATCAATGAATGAGGTAATATCCCATTTGTAAACAATAGTATTTTAGATATGTTATTATACCTAAACTTTAAACACGCAGTCATCGAGATTGGTGACCATTGAACCAATTACTTTTGAGTATTTACTGATAACTCAACTTGACGTCTTAAAGTATGTAAGTGATAGGAGCGGTTGTTATTGTACACTAAACTACACATGAATGCAGCAATTTAGCAAGTCTTTCACTTTAAGAAAAACTGGTTTAGATTTTGACGTAAAAAATGAGTGATATACAACAGCAATGAAGTTCTTTACAAGCACCCTTATTTAAAGAGTTTTGCTAAATATGTCAATTTTTTTTTGGGGGGGGAGTTTTCAGGGTTTCTTGACACTTGAAATGACTATGTCCCAATTTGGAGCCATTCGGAGCCTAGTCGTGTGTACTTTTAGAGAAAAGTTGCCATAGAATGTAGTAATCAAGAACGTTGCACGAGAAATCATAAATCAACCAGCTCACTATATAAGGAACTTATTTTAATACATTGAAATGTTAATATAATTTTCATGTTGTTGATTTACCATCATGCATTGCGTGCCTCTTTGATTGTTGCCATGAAAAAAATGAGCGTTATTATGTTCATTTTAGATAACGATACAAAAGTCATCCGTAAATTTCTAGATAGTAAAAATTAACCAATCACTCTGTTGAAGTAATTTATTTAGCCTACAGCTAAGTCCGCCCCTGACAAATGGAAGTACAAAACCTTGACTGCATGAGTTTCTTTTAACAAGGTTTCTGCTTTAGGAGAACATCATGAAATAAAAAGAACTTTAGTTTGGTGATAAACTAATGGTTGGCTATCACTACTATTGCTTTCATGAACTTAGCATAGCAACTGTACTTTGGGGGCGACAATAATAATGGACTGTAAGGGGAAGGGGAAAAAAGTAAAGCTGATTTAACTTTAATTGCATATCGTCGTTTATATCTTCATGACTTATACTCTCTCGTGCGCACATGCATTCACGGTACGCTGGGGAATCAAATAATAATATTCTATTTAATATCCATATTTTTAAATATTAGTCAATAACTTCCAATATTCAATACATATTTGCAAAAACCTTATAAGCAGTACAAAATGAAAATGGTTGTGATTACAACCAAAACTTATATGCATGAAACGTAAATGGTTTTATGCAAGTACTCTTATGTGAACAAAAGAGAATACTGGATCTAAGTTAAGTCAACTAAGTCCGCTCTTTAAATTCCTTTCTCCATAAATACAATATTCTTATGACCGATCAAATCTTGCTCTAAATTCTATGGATTATATATAAAATGCACATAATCACCCACTTAGATTTATTAAATAAATGCAGCTAGAACACGTAAAACTCGCGTGTGGCATGGTATTTTTTCCCATAAATATTATAAGCCTAATTTTCACTGTTTTAATTGTCCTAGGCAAAACTAAGAAAGCCACTTCCATCTTAATTTACTTGTCGCTTCTATATTCTCGGCCATTTTTTCGATGTTGCTGAATATACTCTTCATTCTCGCTTCATAATTTTCCGCCTCCTTCTGCTCGCCATCTTTCATACCAAAACCTTTAAAAGGTTTTTCTTTGCTTTTCGAAATGTTCCTTTTGGAAAAGACACAGACCAAGAACTATCAAGGCATAGGCAAATTCAGGATTTTTACATTGAAGTTTTTCTTTATCTTTTTATTAGATTGTTGTACGTAAGCCAAGGCATGATCGTAGTCAGGTGTATCTTTTAATGTTAAGCATTTTGCTAAATTTGTCGATACTAGAGAAACGCCATTTTGGCTACCTTGTTGATCGTATATAGCGTTAGCGTCCTTTAGATTTTTTAGAGGCCTGCTTTTAACCCTCAAAGTTGACCATCAGTGTTTGAAAATATAGGCTCTAGGCCGGCTTTTACCCCTCAAAGATGACCATCAGTGTTTGAATATATAGGCTACAGACCGGCTTTTAATCCTCAAAGTTGACCATCAGTGTTTGAAAATATAGGCTAGAGGCCGGCTTTTAACCACAAAGTTGACCATCAATTTTTGAATATATAGGCTAAAGGCCGACTTTTACCCTCAAAGTTGACCATCTGTGTTTGAATATATATGCAAGAGGCCGACTTTTAACCCTCAAAGGTGACCATCAGTGTTTGAATATATAGGCTAGAGGCCGACTTTTAACCCTCAAAGTTGACCATCAGTGTTTGAATAATTATGCAAGAGGCCGACTTTTAACCCTGAAAGTTGACCATCTGTGTTTGAATATATATGCAAGAGGCCGACTTTTAACCCTCAAAGGTGACCATCAGTGTTTGAATATATATGCCAGAGGCCGACTTTTAACCCTCAAAGTTGACCATCTGTGTTTGAATATATATGCAAGAGGCCGACTTTTAACCCTCAAAGGTGACCATCAGTGTTTGAATATATAGGCTAGAGGCCGACTTTTAATCTTCGAAGTTGACCATCAGTGTTTGAATATATATGCTAGAGTCCGACATTTAACCCTCAAAGTTGACCATCAGTGTTTGAATAATTATGCAAGAGGTCGACTTTTAACCCTCAAAGTTGACCATCGGGGTTTGAATATATATGCAAGAGGCCGACTTTTAATCCTCAAAGTTGACCATCAGTGTTTGAATAATTATGCAAGAGGTCGACTTTTAACCCTCAAAGTTGACCATCGGGGTTTGAATATATATGCAAGAGGCCGACTTTTAATCCTCAAAGTTGAACATCAGTGTTTGAATATATATGCTAGAGGCCGACTTTTAACCCTCAAAGTTGAACATCACTGTTTGAATATATAGGCTAGAGGCTGACTTTTAACACTCAAAGTTGACCATCAATGTTTGAATATAGATGCTAGAGGCCGACTTTTAACCCTCAAAGTAGACCATCAGTGTTTGAATATATAGGCTAGAGGCCGACTTTTAACACTCAAAGTTGACCATCAGTGTTTGAATATAGATGCTAGAGGCCGACATTTAACTCTCAAAGTTGACCATCAGTGTTTGAATAATTATGCAAGAGGCCGACTTTTAACCCTCAAAGTTGACCATCTGTGTTTGAATATATATGCAAGAGGCCGACTTTTAACCCTCAAAGTTGACCATCAGTGTTTGAATAATTATGCAAGAGGTCGACTTTTAACCCTCAAAGTTGACCATCGGGGTTTGAATATATATGCAAGAGGCCGACTTTTAATCCTCAAAGTTGAACATCAGTGTTTGAATATATATGCTAGAGGCCGACTTTTAACCCTCAAAGTTGAACATCACTGTTTGAATATATAGGCTAGAGGCTGACTTTTAACACTCAAAGTTGACCATCAATGTTTGAATATAGATGCTAGAGGCCGACTTTTAACCCTCAAAGTAGACCATCAGTGTTTGAATATATAGGCTAGAGGCCGACTTTTAACACTCAAAGTTGACCATCAGTGTTTGAATATAGATGCTAGAGGCCGACATTTAACTCTCAAAGTTGACCATCAGTGTTTGAATAATTATGCAAGAGGCCGACTTTTAACCCTCAAAGTTGACCATCTGTGTTTGAATATATATGCAAGAGGCCGACTTTTAACCCTCAAAGGTGACCATCAGTGTTTGAATATATAGGCTAGAGGCCGACTTTTAATCCTCAAAGTTGAACATCAGTGTTTGAAAATATAGGCTAGAGGCCGGCTTTTAAGCTTCAAATTTGACTATAAGTGTTTGAAAATATAGGCTAGAGGCCGGCTTTTACCCCTCAAAGATACTTGGGAAATATGACAGAGGGGTGATTCCACGAAATGGGATTCCTTCACTGGCGTTGCCAGTCTGCAAGTTCTTTCGTCTATGTTAATTTCAGATCATTAGCATTAGTTATTTCTTAAAAGTAAACGGCTTCAACCCAGGAGTATCGTGACATGTTTGTAAATGTAGGTCGTCTAGGTTAGTAGAGTCCTGAGAAGGACTCTTCCTGTTGATGTTGACTGACGTATCGACAACCTTAGCGTTAGCTTGAACAACAGGTGATTGGAGCATTTGTTTGGCAACGGCTTCGTCATTAACATTTGCCTGACAATGTTTACATTATCAACATTAACTAAACAACGTTCCCATCATTAGCATTTACTTTGCAAATACCAGATAACAAATACGGCTAACCTGTCTCCTCACTTGACTCTGAAGATGACTACCGCTAAGGTTGTCGAAACGTCAGTCTACTCTACTAACGTGGACGATCTGCATCCACAAACATTAGTTATTTCTCAATCGAGAAATATTTTGTTTTTACCACCATGTCACGTACCATGACAAAACTCAGTAACGGAAGAGGGTTTGGGTACACATTACTGCAGCTCATTTTTGCATATACTTAGCTACATTTCCAAATATCTTATTGGGAGAACTTGATTTGTGAGTTTTCTTCTTTAGAAATTCATAGCCAATAGTTTTGTTTTGAAGGTATTTTTAATTTAAACTGAGCACCTTTAATTTATCTTGACTAACGATGGTTTCGCCTATGAATTCATTCACGTCAATATTCTAAATATTTCAAAAACTGCATTGGTAAAAAGGGCATATTATGAGGATTTTGTTGCGATAAGATTTCGGCGGAGTTTCTTTTCGTCCGACAAGTAACGTGACCAGTGACACTATATACATTTGTTGGCGTATGCAACTGGATAAAGCATTCACGTGCAAAAAAATAACACTAAAATTGAAGCAGGAAGTTCGCTCGTTTGTTTTATTCGTGCCACTTTACTTGGCACACTTTGGTAATATAAAGTCTCTTTTTTGTTTTTACTTCTGGAACAAACTTCTGAAAAAGAAAAAATACTATCAAGGAAGGCTTGTAAAGCATTTATAAAGGATCAACCAGCAGGCATTTCGCACGTAACCGGCCATTGTTTGAAGCACGAGAGAACTTGCGAGAGTATTTGTGATTTAATCCTTCGCTATAGCTGCAAATGTTGTTGAATAATTATTTTAGTAATAATAATTGATACATGGATTTCTACAATTTCTTGAATTTTTGTTCTGTATAAGAGGAACTGTAAAATTGTTTAAGTCAACGTGAAATATATCGAGACTCTCACATGAAAATAGGCGAATGCGCGCAATGCATGATGGTTAACCCTCACGCTTTAATTTGCCAAAGTCTGAGAAAGTGGAACGTGTGCAAATTGGGTATCTTTCGGCTTCAATCTTGGCGGCAGAAGCGTTAACCTATAGATATCAGTGATTCTTCAAAAAAAGAAAGAAATGAGCCATGTAGTGATAATACTGTTAAATCAATCAGCTGAACTTATAATTAGTTTATTTTACTCATTTTTTCTGGTTGGTTATCAATAGAACTAGCAGTATCTGTTATTACAGTTCACTCACGCCAACCAAGTACCATCAGCGTCAGATGCCATGAAAATAGACCTGCACAATTAAAGGTAATGGACCGAATTAAGGTAGGAAAACTTGTTATGTTTCATATTATGCTGTATCAAAGCCAACCTTACAAGGTAAATATTTCAATTCCGACTTACTACCTGCTAATGTTATGGCTACTTTAAGATTGATGACAGCCAACTTCCAACAAGCAATTTTGTCGCCTTTTCTTGGTTTACAGTTATCAATAAATATCGGTTTTTATGTATGTTTATTTGGTGACTTCCTACATTCAGTACATGATTAATTATTTCTACGAACCTTTCAGGTAAAGCAAAATAAAAATTATTAGGATTACAATGTAAACTTTTGCGTGCAATATATAAATGATCTTATGCAGGTACTCTTGAACGAAAGAGAATCCTCCATACAAATAAGTAGATGTACTTCCATTCTTCAGTTTCTCTTGCTGAGTTTTTACAACAAACGATCTTCTGTCCTAAATTATACTGGCTTTCCTTAAAATACACGCAATCGCGAATTTCAGGCGTTAGCAACTGATTATATGCATGGCTCACTTATATTTCATATTGATAAAGAACAGTCAAATTAAACTAAGGTCTGGTATTTTTAAACTTAATTTTCACTCTTTCCATTCTTCTTAGAAGAGGGATTATCTGGGAGAGGCTTCCACCTTATTTCTATGTTCTTTTCTATATTCTTGGCCATTTTTTCTATCTCGCTGACTATTTTCATCTTTTTCTTTTCGTATTCCTTGGCCTCCTTCTGCTCGCCATCTATCATATACAATTCGTAGAGCAGCTGATAAATGTCTATCAGGCATGGATGGTCTTCTGAAAACAAATTTTCGATTATATCCAAAGCTTCTAACTGGTTTTGCTTTGCTTCTTTAAATTTTCCCGCCTTTAAAAGGCAGAGACCAAGAACTGACAAGCTCCTAGCAATTCCAGGATTGTAGTAATGAAGGACAGAATTTTTTATCTTTTCCAGAGCCTGTTGGGCGTAAACCAAAGCAAGGTCGTATTTTGGGGGGTCTTTTAAAGACAGGCATGCTTCCAAATTTCTCAGTGCTAAGGAAATGCTTATCTCGTCCCCAAGTTGATCGTATCTAACTTTAGCATCCTCCAGATTTTTTATAGCCTCCTCATAGTCACCTTTCTTCAACAAGCAAAACCCAACGTTGAAAAGAGATTCAGCCTTTAGGAATCCTTATTCGGTGTATTTAAGTTCTTTCTTATGTCTTGGGCTTGGCGAACAAACTCGAAAGCTTTTTCTTTCATTCCAAGACTTAAGAAACATAATCCAATGTTATTTAGAATTTCTGCTTTTTCAGGGTTAAGGTCGTCTGCAGTGTATGTGGCTGCCTTCTTGTAAAGATTGAAAGCTTCCTCAATTTTACCTCGTTGCTGTTTGCACCATGCTTCCTTGGTTAAGACACATGCAAATTTCTCCTCATTGATAATATCTTTTGTAAGAACTTCATTCAAGTATTTTTCCGCACTATATATCGAAAAGTTGCCAGGTAACAGTCTGCTATCTCGATCAAAGTATCAACCAGTATATCATAAATCTTTTTGTCACCTTGATGGCCAACTGGGATTTTAACGTTGGATTTAAATAGGTTCATTGCCCATTGAAATTTCCCCTGTTCTTTTGTGCATTTTGCGATTATATATGAGACTTAGAAATAAGTGAAATCAATGCCGACTTTCTTTTGCAGATGTTTGCTTGTTTTGTACGAAACGATTGCTGATTCATATTCTTTCCTGCTTTGGTAGGCAAGTCCTGCAACTTTAGCAAGTTGTGCTGCTGTGTGGTCAACGTGGTTTTCTGCTCATTTTTCACTTTTTCAACAGACGTAAAGACAACAACCATTGCAGTGGCAACAACGTCGACGAGAAACATGTCATCCATAGCCTTTTCTTTTTCCATGTCATGTAACATCTTTTGGACATCGACATCGTCAAGTTTAAACGATTTTAAGCTCTTACCACGTGGCGACAACCTTAATCTGTGAGCCCACACATCATTTGTGCCTTAGTTTTGGTACAAATAAATGTGCAATGAAAATTCCTGTCTTTTTGTCTAGTATGTCAGCCACTGCTGTAAAAGTGTCGTAATTACACAAGATGGTATAACAAATTCTAAATCATTACATGAAAGATAATGTTTCCCAAAGAGTATCTACTACTTGTAAGTAAATTTGAAAAACGGATTGAATTAGACATATTTCTAATAAACGCGTCAGAAACAACGTGACATAATTTTAAAAATCTACTCTGTTACAGTCAATTTCGTTCAAAGTTCATACAAACTTCGTGTATCGAAGTTCATAAACTAAATTTGTCATTTGTAATTTAACGAACTTCGTATTTCGTAACATCACTGGGAGTGTCAAATTAACTGTTAGAACATCGTATCCCCAAAATGCGAATTGAAGAAAATTTGCCGTATTTTCGACAAATGCGTTTAACTTACGACAATATTCTGATGAAACTTGTGCCAACTTATGTCTTGACACTTGACATCTTCTTTGTGCTTAGAGTTTGCTTCAACACGAACAATTTAACTATTCACTTTCTTCCTCTACAAATGGCAATCACTTACGTGGGCATGTAAGTACCGGATATTGTCGCATAGCCAGTAGGCGTACCGGGTAACAACATGTTTAGTTAACAACATAGTATGTTAATTGTATGTTCTTTCTTAACAAGTATCTGTTTAGTTCAAATTTGTCTTACACTAACATTACTATCAATCAACTACTACCAGTTCTCTGAAATCACGTCACCACTACTTTTTGAAAACTATACAATCTTCGCTCGCTTAACAATAACCGTGAAGGAAGTTTTCTTTTCCCAACGGGGTGACTTTTTAATTGCATCTATTTATAGCAACTCCATTTCCCAAGTATTCAATACTTTTCACAAATTGGGATAATTATGTACAACAAGAAGTTTGAACACATACGTACTTGATGTCTTTTAACATTTAGAAAAAAAAGAGAATTAAAATGCCACTTTCTAACCGAAAAGAAAAATGACGTACATTCCGAATTTTTAAGTCCCAATCTTCTGCTCTATTACAATTAAAAATTCTAACTTTTATCTAATACTAACTTTTTTTATCGTAGTATTTTAAAGCAAGTGAACTCTTTTGTTCCTTTGTGTTTACTGCATGTGATGTTCTTTTACATTTTGGCCAGTTTTTTTTATTCGGGCGTGAGAAATGCCCAAGTTAATGTCTGCAGTGGTCTGTTTATGTGTTTTAAGTTTGCTTCAGAGAAAACTATAATTGATGTTCCTCCTCTGCTACTGACAACAACCGCTTACGTAGTATGAAAGTGTGGAATTATTGTTTCATAATCAAGAGCCGTATCGAGTAACTGCATAGTTAGCATTGCATGTTAACTGCATGTTCCTTCTTCACTAGACATAACTATGTTCAAATTTGACTGACAAATCTTGTCACCATTTAACTACCATCAACCTACTGTAGCAATCGGGTTACTACTAGTTTCAAAAATTTGCTTTTTTCACTTTCGTAACAATTGCATTCACCGAATTGTTCCTTTTAAAGACCGTTATTATAGGCCTAGTTTAGACGTCGAACTTTACATGAACTTTACATGTGTAGTAAACAGATACTTTAATAGTTTAATTTATGTTATGATTGATAAGAATTGGACAGGTGACAGGAACTATTTTTAGGGATGAGAACGAGTGAGAAAGAGACATAAAAAACGATAGCATGTAAGGAGGTTACTATTGATATTTGAGTGCGAAATTAAAAGATATTACAACATGAACCAATTACTAAGTACAATTAAGTTGCACGTATTAAGTCTTATTGAACATCGGCAAAGAAATACGAAATAGGATTCTTTCTACAAAAACAGTTATTTAGACAAAACGAAGTATTTTGCTTTGTGAGGTTATTTTAACACGTCATAGATGAGCACTGGTATGTAATATACATGATAAGTATAACATGCAAAACATCCCGTGCACTTGAAGGTGTTTGCGTAATTTTCTGACAACAAAGAGCGTTGGGCTGTAAATTCCGAATAAAACACTTATGTTTGTTGTTCGTCCATCGCAAGCGATGATGACCTTGACAGGTTAGTTCAAGTACTAGAAGACTGGGTACGGTGAGTTCTGAGTTGGCTAAGGAGCCCAATCTTGGCACGGAATGTTCTCGAACACGAAGGGCAAACCAGAGATGCATCTGATGTTGAAGCACTGGCTGCTCTTGATTTCCGCAGCTCACGTTTCAGTTTGGCTTCCACAGTCCGCCTTTCTTCTGATGCTTGACAGCCCTTGAAGATGAGATCGCGCTAGGTTGATCGGTTCCCTGCAAGTTTGTCCCATATTGTGGTGTTGATGTTAAAGGACTTCAGTGAGGTCTTTGATGTGTCCTTGAACCGCTTCTTCTGGTCTCCGACTGATCTTTTGCCGTTGGAGAGCTCACCATCAAGCAGTTGCTTAGGTATCCGTTCATCTGGCATGCGAGCAATGTGGCCTGCCGATCAGATCTGTGCTCTCTACAGCAAGGTGTAGATGGATGGCTGATTGGATCGAGAGAGGACATCTGTGTCTGGCACCTTGTCTTGCCACTTGATTCTAAATATCCGACGGAGACAGGTTGTGTGGAAGTGATTCAGCTGTCTCGCATGCCTCTGGTAAACAGTCCAGGATTCACATGCAAACAGCATATTTGGTAATACTATGGCACAGTAGACCTTCAGTTTCGTCTTTCAGTAGTCCTTCAGTAGTCCTTCAGAACAAGCTTAATATCTGTTGTTGAAACAATGTTGTTCAGGCCTTGTTCATTCAACATTCGTCAATAACATTGTCACAACAAGCGAGAGCAATACTAATGAAAGAACAAGCTGTTTTCGATTGCTCTAACAATTAATAACAATATTAGTAACACTAACTCCCTGTTATAGTTCATACACCTAACTCCCAAAGACTGTATTTAAAAAGACTGTAGTTGTGTGTATGAACAAGCAAGTCAAACATATCTGACATCTGTAGAACACCCCACGAACAGATACTCATACTGGTGCATAGGAAAAAATTCTACCATCAAGCCATAGTAAAAGCAACAACAGAGCCTAACATATTTTTCGTTCATTCATTTGCATCATTACCAATCACCATTGCCTAAGTAGGCTGATATGGAGCAAAACTGTCGCTATACATAAATAAGCAAAAGTAACACCCCGCGAAAATAAAAGATGCCTACTTGCTAGAAGAAAACCCATAAAAAAGAATTTTGAACTAATCATACAAAAATCCCAAAATAACTTCAATATGTACAACATTTTATTTTCAAAAATAATGCTAAACGATGGGAAAATATTGGTTCCTGTTCGCTCTACTTCACAACCAAGTAAATTTTGAATGAATTATACGAGTTTTCCACTTCTCACAATCACAATAAGCATTATTTGATACTCGAAGTCAGATGACTATTGTTACACGACTTGGAAGCCAATATCAATAATGTTGAACGATCCAATAGTCTTAAGCATATATTTCTTATCTGCATGATTAAAGTCTTGATCATACAGATTATTTTTTTACAGATAATCCCGATGTAATTAAGGACACTGGAAATATAACTCGGGCATGAAATACTCTAGCTTACTTTTCCTTCTTACTATCAGCCCTGCTGGTATTTGCACTTCCACTTATCGATGATGCAATTGATTTCTTCCCTTTGTCCAGTATTTTCTCATAAACTCTATTCATAACCTGTGAAATAAGAGAAAATGCAAGATTTGTATCTTTACATGTGGTCTTTTGTTTAACAATGGAGCCTATCTTTTTCTTCGAAATTTATCACCCTTTTTACGAAAAAGTTATTCTTTAAAATCATGACTAGTAACTACTTAGTTGACGACTGGATATTCGCACACTACAAAATGTTAAATTTTCTATGATATTGCACAGCAAAACAAAAGAGAATTAAAACCAAAAAAATAAGAAACAAAATGATTGAATAAAACTTTTCAGCCAACCACATAACGTAAGAAGTTGATGTCGAACTAAATTCACGTTATCTAGCAACATACCTTGTCCCAGGCCACTTCAGCAACGTCATCTAATTGTTTCCCTTTGTTGCAGAAGTCGCCACTAAATCGGATATAGGCCCACGCGACTATCGCAAGCAACGAGAAACCAATGACAAAATTACACAACATTACAAACGACGTGACACCAACGATTGCAAAAAGACCTGACAAAAGATACGCCAACAACATGATGGCGAAGAAAACCGCCGGAGTTCGAGCAGAATTAAAGATTTTCTTTCCATCGTTCAATTTGACAAAGTTTATGTAGGCGTCATCGATATTCGTTTCAAGTTTTTCAGCAAATTCTTTGCTAAAGTTTTCGCCTCCCATTTTCCGAGTGGTATGAAACATACCCAGGGCTGCAGACTTGTATTTCTCGTGTCGTCTATCCAGCTCATCTGGGTTAAGGAAAGGAGTGTCACCCCCACAAATCTATAGCGAAAAAACAACTTTAGTTTTACACGACAGTTTAATGAGAGGGGTCAACTGAAAAACAACATAAGCTAAACGCATTGTCATTGTCAAATATAGATAATATACAAACAATAATTAGCGGGAGCTTGCTCAAGTACCAGTAGGGCATGTTTATCAGGCATATATTCAGTTCAAATGGTTTCTATTGCTTGACCTTAGTCTCCATGGAGTATAGCTTAAACAACGAAACACCCTTCAAGATAAAGAATACATGCTTTGGCAGCAAATCACTACTGACCTTTTCCATTTTGTGCAGGTAATGATCTTTTGCACTTGCTAATGCTGCCAAATTATTTGCCTCTGCAGTCGCCTGCGACAAGAAAAAAGACGTCTTATAACAAGACAGGAAAAAAACTACAGTTACACAAAACGATAT